GGGGTTTGAAAGCTAATTGAAAGATAAATTATTAAAGATGAATCCACACAACCAACCTCTGCAAGACAACTGGGTGTGACAATTTAGCATTCCTTGTCAGAGCCTCAGCTGACAATATGTTTAGTTATAAACAAWTATTACAATTATTGTCCCAATAAACAGGAAGTGTTTCACCTGATGAGCTGCTCTGCATGTGACTGGATTTGGAAACCCGAGTCTGGCAGGAGTTATTGGATGGTTTTATTGGATGATTCCAGAGACATCAGACCTAATTCCTTAAAGCACACAGCTCCTGTGAGCTGCTGACCCCTGCAGTGACCTGTTCAGCTGAGACACAACAAGAAAACAGCTTGAGAGCTTCAGCTTTTGTCACCATCTTCTGGAGAGAGGACAATGCAGATATCCTGAAGAGTTGACAAAGTTTCTATTACTTTTTTTTAAAAAACAAACAAAAAGAACAATAAGTAAATAAATAAAAAATCAAATGAAAGTAATGCTTTTTATTTGTGAAAATGCAGAGTGAATAATAGATGCTAAAACTGGCTGTAGGAATTKAAACTGAATTATTCAAGCTAAGCTAGTTAAAAGAGGCAAAARGCCAAATAAAAGTTGCTTAGGGCCACTCGCGAAATAAAAGCAGCAAAGTTTTTGCTAAAAGTATGCTAAGCTGTTGGTTTGAACTAACCAAACGCTAGCAAAAAAAGCAGCAACTGGCTAATTCAAAACAGCAAAGTGTTAGCCAAGCATATGTAAAACTTAACCYAAAATTAGTTTAAAGTAGCAAAAAACTAGCTAAAAGCTAAAGTAGCAGCAAATAGCTAACTAAAATTAGCGAGGAGTTAGCTAAACATTTGTAAATTTAGCTGGAACTTAAAAATAGTTGGTTTAAAGTAGCAAAAAGCCATGCAAACTCTAAACTAGCAGCAATTTGAAAACTAAAAATAGCAAAGTGTTCGCCAAAAATTAGTAAAAATGTTAGAACACACCTAGTTTTTATGTGTATATTTTTGTAGGCTACACAGAATTTTATTTTTTAAATGAATGAATAAAATTTAAATTAGCAAAAAGCTAAAGGAAACAAATTCTAATTAAAAACAGTCAAATTTTGATAAATAAAAGGCTAAAGTAGCAGCTACAAAACATGCAGAATTATTCAGATGAGAATGTAGCTACTCAGTTTTAGAAACAGGAAAAGAAAAGTATGAATKCAGCAGTTTATCAAACATTTTTAGTTTTACACTTTTTACAGAACGTGCAGAAATAAAAGTCTCACAGGATAAATTCAWTTCAGTACATTTCTCCTGAAATGACCCGTGAAAATATTACTGATATTCAGCTTTTAAAGACACGTTTTACTGAAACACAACTAAAGAAGAAAATAACTAACTCACAATGAAAGTTAGACAACTTTCTCTGTCCCTCTCAGAGTCAGAGATACATTTCAGAGCAGCTTAACGGGGATTTGTTCACATTCAGCCTGTTTGAGAACAAACCTTATCCCCGATGCTGACCTTTTCACATAAACTCTCATTCTTCTCAGGATCCGTGCRCTAATCCAGGAAAACCCTGTTAGATTCCTCCTCAGCAGACAGGAAACATATTTACAGTTTACATTTAAACGAATATCTTTGGCTCAGGACTGTTTAAAGATTAGATTTTGGGACCCTGACATTTGGTTTTAAATAGGTGCAAGTTGATTTCTAAATTAAACCACCAGAGGGAGACAAAACYTAGAAAAACAAGAAGAAGAAAACCATTAATGGGATCATCAGGTGAAGCAAACTCACCTGGATGAGTTGAAATAAACAAAGCGCTGCAGATCTGAGGGGTGGGTTATTAGTTTTACATGATGATGGGAATCAAATGTTTATTTTAACAACCACCTAAAAACAGTGAAGGAGTTTTATTTARATAATCATATTCTGYTTTAWCATATCASTTAGTGCAGGGCTATTCAACTAAATTGCTCCAAGGGCCACAGTTACTGCAGGCCAACAGCTGAGGGGCCGATCATCCAGCAATTAAAGGCATTATGTAAATAAACCTATTACTTTACCCGTTACCTTTGAAATGGTTTATTTTGCTGTACTTAATCATAAATACAACATACAGAACCCTAAAAGTAGTGATAATTAAACAGTATCAAAGTCAACACATTATGCCTCCTGCTAGACACAAGTATTATTTTGACATCTCTGACTTGCCAAATTTTTAAACCAATTTTATTTTTACCTTCATTATTTATTCAACTGCTTGTAATTTTAGCTGTCTTGAGTGTTCATGGAAATGTTTTTTTTACCAGCTTGTAGCCAAGACATTTCTGTAGATACCAAACATGTCTATGTTTAACTAAAAGATCTTAGACTAATTAAAGTGGAAAACCTGGGGTTTGGGCAGAAGAGATGAATGAACCGATTGGTGGGCCGAACTTTGGTCACTCGCGGGCCGGGTGTGGTCCGCGGGCCGCCAGTTGAATAGCCCTGAGTTAGTGCAATAAAAGAGTAAAATTGCCACATTTAGAGCCGCGTGTCAAAGCTTGCATCATGCAGCTCACATGTTGATTTTTATTTATTTCATTTCATTTTATTTTATGTTATTTTGAAGTGGTCCCAACAAAAACCCGATGAGTCATGTTTAAGGTGGGAAGCTCTGCAGATAACACTTAGCAGCTTGTAAAATGCTTCTGAATGGCTGCTTCCTCACATGCTAAGAGGCTTTTCTCTCCCTCTCTCTCTCAGGAGCCGTCGGGTCTCCTACAGGGGCCCCCGTCTTGTTTTCACTGTCTTGCTGAGAAGCCAGGTTCTTCACATTAGCACTACGTTAAATACAACAAAAGATCCGAATTCCCGAAACTCTCTTTCTACTGACATCCTGACACACTGCACCCCCTCCATGATGCATCTGTGATCAGGTTTCCCATTAGATCAGAAATAAAATAATTTGTGCACTTTTATTAGAAAACATCTGCTCAGACTTGTTGTAATTCCTTAGAGTTTTTAAATAAAAGTTATAAATGCTATAAATAAATGCTGTTCAAACAAAATGCGTATCACCCACTGGCCGCAGCTTTTATGGATAAGATCATTTTATGTTGAGAAATATATATTTTAACTAAACCATGCACCGTTTTATCAAAATGAGAGTTTTTAGACTCTCAACAACAACAAAAAYATATTTTTAGTCAAAGATTTGAAAAAAAAGTGACTGAACTAAAACTACATTTATGTTTTAAAAGCACAGTTTGGCTGTGGCGGCCATCTTTACAGCAGGTAAAATAAGTATTGAACASGTCACCATTTTTCTCAGTAAATATATTACTAGAGGTGCTAATGACATGAAATTTTCACCAGATGTTGGTAACAACCCAAGTGATCCATACATACAAAGAAATCAAACCATAAATGTCCAGAAATGAAGTTATTTGTAATAATGTGGAATGGCACAGGGAAAAAGTATTGAACACATGAAGAAAGGGAGGTGTAAAAAGGCATGGAAAGCCAAGACACCAGCTGAACTCTCTCAGTAATTAGAAAGCAAGCCTGCCCCTTGTCAGTGCAAGWTAATATCAGCTGGTTCAGTCCCAAATGCCACTAGTTTCTCCATACAGGAGGCGTCTTGAAGCTGTCATTGACAACAAAGGCTTTTGTACAAAGTATTAGATAAATTTCAGTAAGTGTGTTCAATACTTTTTCCCTGTGCCATTCCACATTATTACAAATAACTTCATTTCTGGACATTTATGGTTTGATTTCTTTGTATGTATGGATCACTTGGGTTGTTACCAACATCTGGTGAAAATTTCATRTCATTAGCACCTCTAGTAATATATTTACTGAGAAAAATGGTAACATGCACAATACTTATTTTACCTGCTGTGTGTTGGTTAACTCCAATGATCAGTTTTAGATTTACCTCTAAGAAGTTCTGAGAGTTCAAATAAATTTGCTCAGTGGTTCCTGAGATATTTTGCTGACAGAAGCACAGGAGTCAAAACACGATCTCCTGCTTCCTGATAATTAGTTGGATGGAGTCTGATTYGACACGATGATGTCAGAGGTCTTAATCCTGCAGATAATCTTCGGTATTTGTTTATTAGCATGTTTTTATGTAAATTGTTGAACAAAAATTGGTGATTCCCTGATTGGTTTTGTGTAATTACCTCTTTAATATTTTATGTAACCAGGGGCAGAATCAGAGGGGTGGCCACCACTCCCAAATGATTGACAAGTGGGTGGAGGTCTTGGATTTTGTGTTTAGATTTTGCTGAATATACATTTTTAGCTGTGCTTGTTTAAAAATGGCTGAATTATATCCCTTTGAATTAGCAATAGTGGCTTACTTTGGGATTAGGATGTTATTTTTAGCTACACCACAACAATTTTAATCTCAACAAGTCTTAAAATGGATAAATGATTTAAGTCGGCTGTGGTGGCCATCTTAAATTTTTATTAGCATTTAGAATTTGGTAAAAAAAAAACAGTTTTCAGCTACGTCTACACTAATCTTCAGCTGTATGTGTAAAAAAATGGCTGAATAAGCTGTGACGTTTCTTGGCTTAGCTATGATCACACAAAACTTCAGCTCAGTATTTCTTAAAACAGCTGAAATAAAGCCATTTGGAATTAGCTGTGACGGCCATCTTGAATTTCCAAATCCAGAGTGCTTTCTGTGTTTACTTGCATGTGCCCCCTCTWACATCTCCTTGGCCCCCCAGCAGAAAGGTCCAGCTCCGCCCCTGTATGCGACATCAAAGGGTTTTAATAAGTGAAAAAGAAAACTTTTTTAAACCAAGGAACAGACTGGTTTGCTTCGGTAAACTTTATTTAATTTCTCAGGTTTGATGTTTGCTCCAAAACGCACGTGCGTAAAACCTCTAAAACGCCCCATTTCCCCCCCAAAAGCTTTTTCGACACATCTCCGCTGTTTTGTGACTTGTTGATATTATCTCGCKGGTATTTTATTGTCCTCTTCTCTSCGTACACAACCCCTCCCTATTCAGCGCAGACCCCCCGGGGCGCACAGCCCATTCCTCACGCAGATAACGCGCCATTCCCTCTTCGATTACGCAGCAGGATTTACATGAAACTGTTAATTGTTTGCTCTTCAAATAGAGTCAGCCTGGAGCCAGAAGTTAAGGACCGACTCTCTGACCACCTCCCACCTACCCACCCTCCTCCTCCCTCCTCCTCCTTGTGCTCTTTCTTTCGCTCCCTCCTGGGTTTGGGATCAGCATGACAAAGCACCGGCCGGAGCAGAGCCTCCCGGCACCACCCGCTCCGTCCCGCCGCCACCTTGGAGAACAACGCGACCATCACCTTGACTTCCACTGGAGAGATGAGCCGCGGAGCTCTGCTTCCAGCGGCGTAGCTCGGAGCTCAGCAGGCCCGCGTTGGTGTCGCCGCTCGGTCCAGATGGCTCCTCAGCAGCCGGAGAACAAACCGGCGCGCTCCGATGCGCACACGAAGCAGCCGAGTCCAAGCCGGGACGCGTGGAGCGGGGAAGGAGAGAAGAGCAGCGGAGGCAGGAAGAAGAACTACCAGCGGTATCCAAAACCACCTTACTCCTACCTGGCCATGATCGCCATGGTCATCCAGCGGTCTCCAGACAAGAAGCTGACTTTGTCCGAGGTAAACGAGGCACCTGCTTGAGCGCGAGAGGTTTTTACGCACGGCTTTTATTCGCTACTTTCTCCACATTAAAACGAGATTTTCTTTGAACTGCACGTGCGCGCAGACAGTTTACAGTCCAATCACTGACACTAACCAGCAGCCTGATGTGTGACACTTGGGTGAGCATCCATTGTTGCTTTGCTTTGATAAGCCTGAGCTGCAGTGAAACCAGACACTGATCTGTATCAGAGCAGTGATTAGATATACTGTATCCCTCATTTAGTCACTGTTTTAAGACAAATACAGTAAAATCTTGCTTCAGTTCTCCACTCTGAATCTTAACACCCATTTAAATTTTGTTGAAAGTGTCTGAATGTTTCTGATGTTTGTGTTTTGTTTCCAGATCCTTAAAGAAATCAGCACCCTCTTTCCGTTTTTCAAAGGAAACTACAAAGGCTGGAGGGACTCTGTGCGSCACAACCTTTCCTCTTACGATTGCTTTGTTAAGGTTTGTATATTTTTATCACCCGCCACTGAAGTTGTGTTTGCCTGTGTTGAGTTGTTTGTTGTTTATTCAGGAAGGGACAGTGCACATTACAGAACAGGCCAGAGTTAGCCATCTGTGGCCCTTCAAGGTCCCATAAATACAACACGCACACAAATCAACACGATTCTTTCATTAAAACATGGCTAAAAACATAATTAAAAAGCCGTTTAGCACAACAATAACAGTTAAAAGCAAAACATTAAAAATGCAGAATGCATAAAATAATCCCATATTCAGTGTGTAACACAGCTGATTATCCAGGAGCCRTGATTTTAATATATTTGAGAATAATTAGAAGGATCCACAGGTTCTAATGCTTTCCAGTATTTTATTCCAGTCAAGTGAAGCTTTTACTGGAAGAGTTTTGACCAAATATACTGTGACTATGGCACAACAAGATCTCTTTTCAGTAGCTCTGGTGTTCTTACAGAGAAATGCTTCAAGTGGCGGAGGTGCGAGACCATGCAAAATAAAAAAAAAACCAGATAAATATTTACAAACGTTCATGGTGTTGAATTCTTATAAACCAGTGGATACATTTTTTAACTCTCACAAAGTAATGATTGGATATAAATCTACAAATAGTCTACTTTTGGAGCCAGCCTCAATAAAGATGGCCGCCATGGCTAAACAAACTTAGCMTACACAAAAGTGCCCATTACCCTGCATGATTGAGAACTATTGGGCTGAAATTTGGAGTGGTAGTAGCTGAGACTGATCCTCAACATATACACTGAGTGTGTCCTGTTTGTCAACAAAATACCTCAAAAATCACCGGAGATCTACAACTCAACTTTTAAAGATGGCAGGGGATATATATATATATATATATATA